AAAAAAAAAAAAAATCTCGCTTTTATTGACAGTGAATAAAAAATGATCAATTGTGGTGAAGAAACCGGTTAAATTTTTCCTTGAAGTTTTTTTTTAGTTTTCAGCTAATTTATTAAAAGGTACTAAATTTGCTGCAGAACACAAAAATTTTTTTTGAGCTTTGCTATTAAACAGGCAGATAATCTTTTTGTGATTATCAAATATAAACAGAATTTCAGTCTACTGGTAACACTGTTACTGAACGATTCTCAGTACTGCAAAAAAAAAAAAAAAAAAGAAAGGGAATTTTGAAGTTTATTTTTTGAACTTACCTATTGGCTCCTTTTTCACAACTTCTGAAGATTCTGAATAAATGATCAAATTTTTTTTCTCTACAATATCTTATAGCTTCTCTAATTTTTTTTCAATTAGAATCAGTAATGTGGCGCAAAATATAGGTGAAGTCTCTTAGCTTTTTTGTTATTGCTGATTAAAAGTTTTTTTAGAAATACACAATCAGTCATTCAGTTAGTGCAGTTATTTAGTTTGGCTTCAGTAAGCCATCTATTATGACAGTGGTTTTTTGAGAGCAACCTCTTTTTTTCACTGTTTTTTATTTTGTTTATCTTAAAGTCTCTTATTTTGATTATGAAAGATTAAGGAGGAAATGGGGAATAAGAAATGAGGATTAAATATAAAGGCGGTTGAGGTATAAGGAAGAAGACTACTGCATCAAACTTCAGATTAGATTTATTAGTTTTCTGATCGAAAATGATTAGCTTTTTTTCTTTTCTAGAAGTCTTTATTATCATTATTTTTTTTTTGTTCTAACTGCTGGTTCTTTTGCTGCTACAGTCGGCAACACTTCTAAATAACCGGTGTTTAGTGCATAGAAGTAACAAATTACATTCTTTCAAAACTGTATAATTATACGGTGCAAAAATTGATTTGCTATAGAAAAAAGGCTGAAAATATTACTGTCTGTTAAGAAAAGAAAAGTTAAGTTTCTGGTCATCTAACTAATAGAAATTGTACTACTTAAGTACTCCTAAACTGTTGTTTGTTCAGCTATTGCACCACTCTCAGTTATTTTTAGACCTTTTTGTTCACTTTAAACGAATATGTTGTTTTCTGGGAAGGATGAAAAACTTAAACTTTTTCAATATTTGGATTTTTATTGTAACTGAAGCAGTTAAGCGAAAGATTAGGTGTTTTGATTGGATACTGAATGGTCATGGGTGATTATTTTTCAGAAATGCCTTACAGTTCAACTGGACGAAGCCGTTTGGGATATAAAGCGTAAACTATTAGCATCGTTACAAGAGGTATGTCGTTTGGTGACAATAAGTTAGCTTTTTTGTTAAGAAATTGTTTTACCTAATAATTGGCTGATAACATATCCTTGAACAGAGCAATAAAAACTGTTACTACCTTAAAATTGTTTTTTTTTTCAAATTTTTTTTGGAACAAAATTTTATTGACCTTACGGAACCGTGGTTCATAAGCATTTTCTTTTTTTTCGGGCCACTTATTGAGTTGCAAATGACATTTCTTTCATCCGTTTTTTTCCTGTTCTTACTGTTGAATTATTAGTTTAATTTGCCGGTATAAAAGAAAAGAAAATCAATGATTTTACACAAATTATTCTTTTTCTTCATAATTTACGTTTCACCCGTCATCTGTCTTTTGTATTTCATTTACTAAGTCATTTCTTAATGTTGTATCGTTATATTTTATACAGATTTTTAGGTAACGATCATATATATTTTAAGGGTCAGTAGTTGTTTAGCTGAATTTCTATAAGTGGACGGGTGTATGAATGAACGAGTGTGATTGAGTGAGTGAGCAAATGAGTGAGCGAGTGAATAAGAAGTGCTGTTGTTGTAGTTGCTTGTTGTTGGTC